CGTAAGTAACCTATAGTTATGTGAAGACGGGAGGGCTTGTTGGTCCCTCTCTACATTCACAGAGGGCCAGCTATAGTAACTCAACGAGAGAGTAATGTCAAATGACAGTACACCAATCATATCCTCCCTCTAAATGGGCGGGCTTTATTTTCACGGACTTTATGACAGGTTCCGCCCGCTGTGAGGTCTATGCAAGTGGTGCAGTGACGCGCCCTAAAACCCGGAAGTAAGCTGCGCTCGGATTCCCTCGACAGAAAGCAACGGGATTTCTCCATAGGGTTTTGGAAAATAGCTTGAAATAAGGTCTGTGGAAAACAAACCTGTTAGATAAATGCACGTTTTGTTCAGCCGGATAATATCCACATGTCTACCCTACTTTTATTATTTTCGAATCATAAATCTAATCGATAGATTTATGATCGATAGATTTATGATTAGCATAAATTCGTTCATGATGGCTCACTTCAGTGATAGTGATGACATCGTCATTTTCAAGATTGAGTTACAATGATAAACTGGAGTGGCAAAGGATCAGCGGAATGACCCGCAAGTGCTTCATCCAAAAGGACAGGAGGATGGACTTTGTGAGTGATTTGATCATCAAAGGTAGGCCTAAGTCATTTTCAATGCGGGCCGCCGTGCCGACTTAATTCATTTGTAATTGTTACTTGGCTGTGGGTGCCCTGTCATAATAGGTGTTTCTATAAATGGTGTTGTTTTGTGTGGTAGAGGGTCGCTGTCATTGATGCGTTTTACACCCCGGGCTGCTGTTTTGATATTCCGCTGAAGTATACGCTGTGACATAATATCTCTTCTTTTTTTTCGAGGGAAGGGGGGGGGGGGGGTCAGAGGGCCTAGGTATAAAAGTCACGGCTCGCCACTGCTGTGGAAAAATACCTGAGTGAAGAGATTTGTTTACTATATGAAGTAGATCTGAGGCCATGCAACGAAAAACATCTTTGAAAAATTCTGTTGGAATAATATATATATATATGCTCTGAACGTTCCACTTCCTGCCTGCCCGACATTACCTTACGGCTGTGTCGCGTAAAATATAGGATTCATCCTAATTTTAGAGTTGCCCTGCGCCGAGACGCTTCTGGGACGCTTCTGAGCCGCAACGCGCCGCGTGTGGTGGAATAGCACCCATTGACTAGAGTCGCCGCGAATCCTGCGAACGCTGCGGCGCAGCCGTAACGCGACGCAGACGGACCCGGTGAAAACTGGGGGTAACGCGGCCGTAACGCGGCCGTAACACGGCCGTAATGCGGCCGTAACGCGGCGTAGACGGACCCGGTGGAATCTAGGGGTAATATGTCAACAACATGAAACAAGAATATGAACCTGGCTTTATCCAATGTTCTACATTCTGACACATCCTTAATCTACTGACTCAACTGAAAGAGGACGAGGAACACATTAAAAATATAATAAAATGTGGAGACATTTTCGGGCATTTTACAGACCAATCGTTGATGTCACTCATTCCCCATGATCACAAAACGATCCCTGTATAGTCTGAGTACCAATGACCTCATATTATGTCTGTCATTAAAGTTATATCACCCATTATAACAATTGTCTTTCCTTTATTCTCTTGTCTCTTCTCTTGACTGAATTACAGTAGTCCTGTCTTTAACAAAATGTAAAGTCCTCCAAAACAGGCATTTGTACTGTATGTGTTTGGAGAAATGACACAATAAATGGCCCAGATTTGTACTATAGAAACTTGAAATCTTGTAGTGCAAGATTTCAACCTTCCAGGTTATATAGGCTTTGTTTTGCAATATGTATTCAAAGGTCACTTCTTATTTAAAATATTACATTTCTGAGGATAAATACAAACAATTATAATACTGCCTTCATCAAGAGTCATTGAAGCCCAATACGAATTGATCCTCCTAATAAAAGCTTTTTATCTGTATTAATAAAGTTGCCACGTGTTTTCAAAATGAAATGAAGGGATTATCTGTAATGAACATTATAAAATAAATACATTTTGCGGTATTTTATTTCAAAAGTGTTCAGAAAGATGAAATCAATGATATATAAAGATCTTAAGATCAACATTATTATTAACTTAAACTAAAGTACATTTTAATAGCGGGCACAAATTAATTAATTGCCATGCACCTGATGTTTGATACTGTTTACGTTCAATTTCAGCTATTTTAGGCTAAAATCTTATATTGACTAAACATTTTTTTATGATTTGCTTTGATTTAGTTTTTTTGAGAAATCATTTAAAAGGGAAAACTTGTTAACATTTTGCATTTTAATTATAAATGTTTGCACACAACATTATTTACTTTTGAACCGATGTTCACTTTTCTATTTTTCTATTTCCTTGATGCCTGGGAAATATATCCAGCCTGTAGTTCAACATGCACATTTTCTATACAAGTATGTATAAGAATAACATGAACAAATTAATTTCCTCTCTCTCCTCTTTTAATAACACAATCAAATCATCTTTAATTTTCCCATGACCTTCACTCCCAAAAATAATTTTGTTAAGGTTTTTATTTTATACTTGTATCCAGTTTGGACAGATATGTTTTGGGAAAAAAGCTCCTTTAATGGCATAATGGGTGAATATGTATACCCTGCTAAGTCAGTATTATTTTAGTTACATTTATTTTATACATTTAAGGAAAAAGCAAACTCGATAGTGGATAAAAAATTGGACTGAAATTAACTTTAAACCCTTTATTCTTCGGGGTCATTTGACCCCAGCATTTTGAGCCTCAAGAACATTTATCATATTCAAAATGTATGTTTCAGGTGGTTCATTCAAATACAACATTAAGCCCATGCCCCCCCACCCAACCCATTATACATCCAGAATTGCTATTATGTGAAGTTCGAAACATATATAAATAAATAATAACAATAATAATAAATTAATGGTTTAGAAAGCTTCTATGCAAGCTTATACAGTATATGTTTGCCCCGCCCCCTGCGTTGTGTAAACGACCAATGTCCTTGCGGTAACAGAGCGCGTCAATACCTGTCAATTAGTGCTTCCATGGACCTCATCTGTAATGGAGGCACGTCGAGGGTACTTATATATGTATTTCAACAGAAAAGTAGTTATATACATAATTGTGTTAGAAAATAAAACACAAATGTGTATATGAATTGTTTATTACACATCTTTCGGAATCTTTCCTATCCTGTTTATTAAAATTGTGTGGTTGGCATAATTTTTATAATTTCACTTAGTTTTGAAAAGTGGCCGGACACTTTTCTCCGATAAAAATAAAACTGTATTGCGTGACACCTTGTACACACTAGTTTCCCTACTATTTGTCAGCAACACCTGTAGACAGAATTTACAGTTTCAGGTTACAGAGTATTGTTTTAGGATCCATTATATCACGTTGGGTAATTCAAGAGGATACCAATAACCTCCATCTTTTTTTTAAAGAGATTTGCGCTCTTCTCCACCCGACACACTGCAAACTCACATGTTGTTTAACAGATGACACATTTGTAAACAAAAACCCTGCTGGGGGACTGGGTGATACATTTTCTTTTGAAATTGTATGAACATGTCCAAATTTAAGAATCCCCATAAAAAATTGTCAACGGACAAACTGTTTTCTCAAGATGTACATGTATTATTTGTTTAAATAAAACAGTGTTCTTGTTTATTACAGGTTATAAAGTTATACTTTAAAAAAATGTAGGGATAAAATTGCCCATTTAAAAAAAGAGCTGGGGACATGTACCCAGCATCCCCAGCTTAAATGACACCTATGAATATATCCTTCTTTTCTTTCAGCGCAAATCGACATAGCATAGGCAACAAATCAGAAGTCAGGGAATCAAGCTAATTAATTAAAAAAGTCTAAACTGAGTGAAAAGTCTAACTATAAATAATAGATTTTAACTTGTTATGTCTTTTCAGAGTCTTGGTTTTCTCAATGTTTGGGAAGGCAAGTGTTTCTTATTTATCACACAATTGTAATTGCATTAAAAAAATGCAATGATTTCTCAAATTTCATATTTTGTTACAAAGAAATGACGGAACTTTGACATTTCAATTTCAGACAAGAAAAATAACAATAACAAAATAAGTCCTTTTGGCTGTCACTGACAAGCTTCGAGCCACAACCAAAACGAAAGACAATGATGAAGGTGATGAGAAAGCCACTTTCTGGGGCGAGGTGTGTCAGGAGCTTGGAATTTCCGATTACAAGACCAATAGGATACGGCTTCATCATGCCTATAATCATCAGAAAAAGGTAAAGAAAGATTTATATTTCAATTCTTTATAAATATTACGCTATCCTGATTCTTATTTCTGCTTTGCTTTTACCTTCATCGTTCCAGAAACATGCAGTACAGTCTGCCTGTGTGAACAACTTTAATTTGGATGTGCTATAATATTTAATATCATTCGATTAATAATTCAATTTTTGGATTTAATTTGCTCCTTGTCATGTGCAGATGAGACACAAGACACAGATGGTGACCGCAGCACCTGCAAGCCCATCGACAGAGAGTGACCACACGGCCTGCCACCCCATCGACAGTGACCGCAGTGCCTGCCACCCCATCGACAGTGACCGCACAGTGCCTGCCACCCCATCGTCGGTTACACAGGCATTCACAGACGAGTGAACCAGAAGACGTTTCAGAGGTAAATATCGCATATTAGCACGTAGTTAGTGTTAGTGTGTTATGAAACATGCACACTACTGTGTGGAGTGAAATTATAGTTAGTCCAAAATAAACAATTTCAGAGATATTGATTCACATCAGTAAAGAGTAATTCCAACTTTGGTCACTTTCGCTAATATTTTTTTCATTGTGTTTTACAGTGTAATTCATCAGGGACATATGACTCCTCATCACACTCAAAAGATGGGCAATTCTTACACTCATTTAAATTGCCTTCAAATACTTTTTTTTTTGTCACTAAAAGTGACTGGAAAAAACTGAGGATGAGACAACATACAGTAGGTGTCGATTTAAATCTTTAAACTGGACTTCAGTCATGGCCAATGGCATCCGGAGTGTTCACCCACACTGTTGCTTTGTCTTCAAATCTCACAGTGTGCGAGCAGTTGGGTCAAAAAGGAAAGGGTCACTTTTTTCATGTTTTGGCTACTGTCGATTTGATGACTGCCCTGTGGAGGTCCATATTAACATTGAGGATGAGTCATCCCTTAAAGCAGTTGTGACCTTCAGTGGTGAAACAGCATGGCACAACTGTGAAGAACTGAAACATCGGCCTGTGCGTGCAGATGAAAGGGATGCACTTGCTAATGCCCTCACCAGCAAACTTCCCAGAAGTGTGTACCTTAATACTCTAAATAAACTGGATGACACTGTGTTGGCTTCTGGAAACAGAGACCAGGTACCATCAACTGGTGTGATGAAAACATTGTCCTGGCAGGCAAGAAAGAAGCAGAGAAAACACAACAATGAAATTATCAGCCTCCTAAAAATGATGGAGAAAGAGCTCGGGACTGAGGAAGCAGTCATTCAAACAATTATAGCACACCCTAAAGGAGTCATGCTATGCTCCAATAAAACAGTTGACCTCTTCCATGACAGGTGCAGGGAAGACATTGTATATTTGGATGCGACAGGGAGCATTGTGCAAAAGGGAAAACCTCACCATTTTATGTTTATGAGAAATCCATTCAAAGGATCCTCCCCTGTCCCTGTGGCCACCTATATCACCAACGACCACACAACAGCCTCCATATCATTTTTCCTTGGGGCATTTCTGACTGATGTAATAAGACTCCATGGAAGGACAGCCAAACAAAGGCCTGTCATGTTAATATGTGATGGCTCTACAGTCCTTATGCAGTCCATGGCCTATAACTTCTGTGGAGTCAGCCTCCAGGAACTTCTCTCCAGGTACCACAGCATTGTAACTGGACAGGCAAAGCATGATTGCATAGGGCTACCAATCATGCATCGCTGTCTCAGTCATGTGATGAAAAATGCTAAGGACCTATGTCGAAAACAGTAAGTGATTTCTGCCCAGTGCTACAATGATTCCTGAAGTCATTCATTTGTAAAGTCTTTGTAATAATAATAATTGTACAACCTTTTTCTTATAGTGCCGCCAAACATTACCACCTGGCTATGCATGTTTTTGGACTGATGACACAGGCCACCACAATGTCAGAGCTGGATGAAGTTGTCACCAGTGCTGTGGTGGTATTCTCCAGCTCCCACAGTGACAGAAATGTTGGAAAACATTTCAAAAATCTCCAGAGACTACTGACAAATTCAGCATAGTCAGACTTGGACGATTCAAGCATTGTGGAGCAAGACTGTGTGGTATGTAATAATTATGTGAATGTTGGAAGTTGTTTCATATTTCAAAAATATCATAAAAAATGATTTGTTTACCTTCAAGTCCAACACAGCATAGAAAAGAGCACAGAAGCAGTGTGACCAGAAACAATGGAAACATATTAACATGGTTTACATATGTTTCTATTACCCAAAGGTCAATGCAATGCAACTAAACTTATTTGTGGATTGTTTTTTCTAGAATGATATCGGACCTACGCCCTTCAAACATCATTTTGAGGACTTAACACAAACAGTTATTGACAAATCTGGTGATGACAACATATACTTCTGCCCGACTTCCATCCCTTCCTTGCTTAAGTACTTTCTTCCCCTGGCTGGTCTGTGGTCTGGCCTACTCTTGGGTAAGTTTTATTTTACACGTGTTTCTATAGCTGCTTGTTAATGTAATGTAATATAAAATAAGAAGGCATGTTTACTGTTTGGTCAGGTGACCTTGGACGCCATGGAACAGGGCCCATTTATTAAGTGCTGCAAAAAAAAAACACACAGGTACAATAAACCTAAAGCTTTGATGTAATATTGAATTTCATTGCATTATTCTATAATCAATATTATAAACTGCAATGTAAACAGTATGTAATCCAAGTGATTGTTAACAATATCATTTGATGTACCGTAACTAATATGTTCAACTGCAGAATTACACACAGGACAACAAAACTCAAGGGATAATGAAAAAAGCCAGTGGGACCTCAAAAAGATCAGTTTTCAACAGAGACGTCTGACCAGGCTGGACGATTTTGTACATACATACAAAGTCACCTTGAGCACCCTGCTAAGGGAATATGGCGACTCTCTGAGGAGGGGGCAGAAGGTATAGTTTGTTATTTATATATGGCTGTTATGTTATCACATTTGTCCCTAGTCATTAAGCATTGCTATCGATTATGTTAGGAAAATATCACTCGCCCCTGGCGTTTCAATAATCAGGATACATGTATTTATTATCCTTGCAAGAATGGAAGTAGTCATCACATACAGAGCTGTATGGGACAAATAGTTCACAGAACATTGTCCTTCACAGGCTTTATATACAAGAGACTTGTAGACAGACTTGTTACACAGTCACAAGATGGAGGAATACCGGTTCAAAGCAGTATACAATGTTTAGTTTAGATTAGCTAAGGCTCACGACAGAAATGATCATGCTATTCATATGTCTATCTCCATAGAGGCTGAATCAGCATGTCAATCACATAGCTATCATATGCCTAAAACAGTCTTGATGCTCTTCTAGGTAATCATACATCCTGTCATGTACACAGCTACTTAGGCTTCTTTGTCATCATGTTCTACTCTGATATTCAAAGAGTACATTCAGTATTTTCCCAACAGTTAGTCTGCAGGTAATTTTGTCATTATTATCAGTTATATTAGGTGTGCTAATAATATTGATACACCAATCAAAACTGTGATGCAACTATGCTGAATTTAGTTGGTTTCATAATTTTGATGAATAATAATTAATGAAATAATATATTTATTTCAGGCAAAGAAAATGTTTGTTGTGAAAAGAAAACAACATTGAATAATGTGAAATGGCAGAATATTGAATGAAAGGTAATTTATGAGTGCATTTACCCTGTCAATATTCCTTATTAACTGCAGACCCATCATGTGGACAGCACAATAACTATGTATGTATTTTGGAGAGCAAACCATTGTTATCCTGTTTGTTGAAAATGACATAAATGTTCTATTTGTGTTATTAACACTTTGTTTTTCTCAGCTCATGCAGAAGACAAAAACACCAAAAGCTCCAGCTCCACTAAAGAAACAAGCGCCAGGTCAAACTGAAGCACATATTCCATCGCAGGTAATCCCATTTAGCATTATTAAACAAAGCCAGGAAGAATTTTAAACACATACATCTAAACCAGCTTGGAATCTATCATTTTCTATTAATTTAAATTGTGTGATTAAGTGATTAACCCTCCAGGTGAGCATAATTTTACGTAATTAATCATATATTTTCGATTATAAGGAGTAGAAATATGATTCAGATATCCGCGGAATCACTGGAAGAGTAGCTTTCCAGCGGTATCTCCTGTGAGACTGTAACCAGAACACAGCAGCCAATATGGCCGCTCAAAGCAGCTTGACTTTACACTGTGGATTGGTGGAGTCGTGTGTCCGTCAAGGAAATCTCGGCCGGCAGCCATCATGGTCTGAAATGACCAATGGACATCGAGAAATCACTAAGGACCTACCCACCAAGTAAACAAAACATAAACCACGTGTCTCCCATCAGTTTACGTCTTTGAGGAGAGAGAGAGAGACAGAGAATATGGCTAAAAAAACCTTTACAGTTGCCGACTTCGCTAGAGATTTTTTTCGCTAGCAGTAGTGAAGATAGAGCCTCAGAACCTGAAGTCTTCGACTCTTCTGAAGAAGAAGAATAATACAAAGACAACAACAAGGATCCATTTGGGCATGGGTAAGTGTAAATATTACAGTAATAGTGTACTGGCAATGTGAAAATGAACAATAGGTTTATTGATATATATTTTTTATCGATAGTCATGAACTTTTTATTGGACAAAATAGACTCTGCATTAGCAAATGTTTACTCTGTGTTAACGTTATTTTGGTGTGTAAAAGTGAGATTACATGTGTAGAGGATTAAATTAATCATTTCGTCCCACAACGGAGACATTTACAGTGACATGTTTTTGCCATCGATTATTTTATCATACTGTTCTGTACAGATGAGACTTTGTCATAGATTTATTTACGTGTGCCTGTTATTATTTTTACCGTCCTGTACAGATGAGACTTTGTAATCAGATGAGACTTTGTAATCAGATGAGACTTTGTAATCAGATGTAGTCTATGTATATGTGTGTCTGTGATTTTATACTGAATGTAAAGTAACTGGAAATACCTGTGTGTGTGTGTGTGTGTGTGTGTGTGTGTGTGTGTGTGTGTGTGTGTGTGTGTGTGTCTTCTCCAACCTCCCAAACTTTATTTTTATGTGTGCATTGTTATTTGTGCTTGAGCAACATTTTACTTGAACTTTATTTCAATGAAATGAGTTGTAATTATTGTCCTAAATTTTAATTTGTTTTACAGAGAGGTTTCACAGCTGTCTGGGCCTAGTGGCCCACAGGCGGCGTTTATCCAGCAGCCAGAACATCCATCTGTGCCGGCCCCCAGGCCAAGATCTACCGTGGCTCAAGGGCCTTCACCAGAGCAATCACCAAGGACCAGCAGACCAGCATCACTACAGCTGCCTCCACCTCCATCTGCGGCTGCCACCAGGTCAAGATGCACAAAGGCTCCACCACAGCCATCACCTTCAACCCAGCCAGCAAGGAGGTCTCGTGGAGGTCTCGTATAGCACTTGTACACCCCACCTACACAGCAGCCCATGCACCATCACCCCCATCTTCACAGCAGCCAGACCCACTGTCTTGGAAGACAGACAAAGACCTTGACACTGTCTTGACATTTATAATGAATAGTTGGTTGAAAGTTCTGATGTTCAATATTGTAAATAGTTAGATTTTCCAGTTTCTTATATTTATATAAATAGTTGGTTTGAAAAAAAACATATTTATAATAAATTGTTGGTTGAAAAAAAGGTTGAATGCTCAATTTGTATTTGTACACATCACATGAACCTTGGTATGTAATATGAAGTCATTATTCAGTCCTAATGTATCTCAGCCCCTGCTGTGGTGAAAGTAGAGTGATAAACACCTATTTTACTCAAAATTCGAATTTAATTTTTTTCATTTTAGACATGAATAACACATTTATATACAGTGTAATTCAAATATTTCACTGCTTTTGTGATCCTAAGACTTTGGTAACCTAATCTAAAACACCAAAACAATTTGATCACATGAGTAAATTTGTGTTTTCACAAAAGTTTTGAAGATTTTCCGAAAATCGGATGTCAAATTTTAAGCTTTTGAGCTACTTATCTCATCAAACAGTGCTCTAAGGTGAGTAATTTGCATATATAGCAATACCAGAGATTGTCCTGAACATTCTGATATTTAACACATGGGGTGCCATGTTAGAAGAAATACATTTAAAAGGTGATTTAAGAAAACATCTAAAAATCGAGAAAATACCCTTAGACTCCAGAGGGTTAACTATGACATGCACTAACAACACATATTGGACAATGTGAAAGGCAATGTTGATGTTTCGGCTTATATGCAGGATCCAAAAGACAAGGCAAGACAAGGTCAATCTTCAGAAATGACGGAGCATGCTGAGGATGACGCACAGGGAGGTAAATTGGATGCTTCATCAGAGGTAAGAAACTGTAAGGACACATCATCAGGGAGTTCATCAGAGGGACCAGATACAAATGTTTAAATAATTGATTAACTAAAAAGTTAAAATGCAGATTTTAATGTTTAAGGAATGCTAAAGGAACGTTATAAAATAATACATTTCAATTTACAATGTGTATCTCATGCTCTGTTAACAATCAAGCTTTGGGACATAAAAATGATATAGTATTTTTGTTACCCCCAGCTGACTGCGTTGTGGGAAAAAAAGGACACTGAGGTGGTGGTGTCTGTAGTCCCCACGCAAATAAGAGGAAACAGTTTCACCATCTATCACTCTGACATACGGACCCTTAGACCACACCAGTGGCTTACAGGCAAGGTATTTCATCCATATCATAGGACAGAACCAGTGCTCATACAGTACCAAGTCTCTTCACTACACATGAATCCAATATTCATGTGATGCTAACTTCATGTAACACTAGCTTCATGACACACCACTAAAGTCTTGTTAGCACCCAAGGCCTAAAATGTATAAAATAGTTTTAAAAAGTGAATCTTAAAAGGCATCCACAGTTGCTAGAAGAAGTAGTTAAATGTGGTCACTCACTGTTATAATTTTCTGTTTGTATCAACAAAGCTTAACACCTGTCAACTACATTATTATTTAATATAATTGTATTTCTTATTAATGTCTGCTTGTCGACATTCTCTCCAGATTATCGAGTGCCTTTTCCATATACATGCAAATAAATGTAAACTGGGGACAAGGATTTATATTCTCAACCACTACACAGCTGGTGTGATCCTCTTCAGGAAAAGAGAAGAGGTCAGGAAGCACACTTTGTCAAAGGTAACTTGTGTTTCTATTGAGGATAACTACAAAGGTTTTCATTATGTCTTTGTCTAAATATAAACATACTATATAGCTATTTGACTCTACTGTATAAAGAAAAAAAATACAGCCTGATGGGAAATGGAAGTTGTTTTGTTCTTATGTATTACAGATACAGTTTGACAGCTATGGAGCCATTGTGTCCTTTGTAAATGTGGGAAATATACACTGGACATTTCTGGTTAGTAGTGTCTATATCATATAATTGTATATTTCTTGATCAGCTTTTGGAGATGTTGTGTTTATTTCCTAAATATATATTTCTTTTTCTGTGTCCACAGTACATCAATGCTGAAGAAAGCACAATGTATTTGGCAGATCCTGCACGCAACTCTGCAGTGCAGGCAGAGTCAGACAATGCTGCCAAAAAATTCAGGTACTAACTGCATCCAATTTCACCTGTTTTTCAAAAATATTTATTTCATTCTATTCCCTCATATATAATGTTTATATTTATTGTTATATGTATGTGGGAATAGATGGATCAGCTCTATTGCCACAACCAGCCCTTTTTTTTAAAATTTGTTTATGTTCTACTACACCAGAACATATAATGTGTGAAAAATGTGTGCATGTTTTATTTGGTCCATACCGATTATACCGTAACACCCAATCCACTGAATAAACAACCTGTCCTTAGAGTGAACAATTGTCAATTCAGTTTTATATCAGACTACTGTAGGTGTCTGCATGTTATTTCTTAAAATATACATTTGGGAAACATGCATTAACATCAGTTCAAATTGTGTTACTCGACTGCTGAGACACAATGTGACAAGGATTTATTTTATTATGCGAGTATTGAATTTATACAGTATGCATTGTACGTTAATAATATACCTTATCTCACGCAGTGATTACTTCAAAATGAGGAGGACCTGCTGCAGTAAGACGGACTGGGTAGACATAACATGGAAGGGAGGAGTGATGAAACACCCAGTACAGCAGGATGGCAATAGCTGTGGGGTAGTTGTCTGCATGGTAAGTGGAATACTTATTTTCATATACAGTATGCTTTTTGCTAATACAACATTCTTTCAGCTTTTAGGATTAAGTCTGTTTTACTGCCTTTCACAAAAACACATTTGGGGTAGTTGGATAGTTATTTTAAGAACATAACATGGTGTATCACTTTAAGATGGCAAAGAAGGTCATGGAAGTGTTTCCAAAAACACCAAAAATGACCTTTGGGACCACAACAAGGGAGATGGCGCATCAAAGAAAAGTCTTAGCCCTGGAAATACTGACAGCATCAGGTGCGTGCTACATTTTCAAAATTTTAATTCAATTGTGATATTGTTGTACTTGAGATGTAACATTAGCATTTTTTTTTTCATCAGTGTTTGACAAAGAAGTCAACTGTGCCATGTGCGCCGCCATAAAACCACCCGGCTCAGTGACACATCAAACCCACACTGACTGGGTAAGGTTTAATTAATATTGAGACTTCAGATATTTCACAATTTAGATTTGTAGAAAAGCATTAAATGAAAGCAGAAACTAAATACAAACACTTCAGGGATGCAGTTGACCATTGCTCGAAGCTGTTATAAGCAGGGCTTTACTCTCATTTGTCTCCACTCCTTCTATTGCAGATTCAGTGTGACAGCTGTTCGCGATGGTGCCATACACAGTGCCTGCAGATGGACCAAAAGTGTCTTAAAGAGGCACAAGTTGGGGACTGGGATTGCTCTCTGTGTACAAAATAATGTATGTGCATGAACAGTAAAGGATTTTATTTGTCCAAATGGTGGGGGTTGTGGTTGCTGTATGTCCTATATTACAACAAAAAAAGCACCAGCTGGGGACTGGGACTCCAGACTTTTCCAAAAAGCAGGGGATGTGGTTGCTGTGAAATAGTTTTCATGTATGCTCAATTTGATATATTTAAAATCTATATTTGAGATTTGTTTAACTAAGAAGTGACCGTTGAATAAATATTGCAAAACAAAGCCTATATCACATGGCAGCCAGTGTGAATTGTTTCCTAAATTACAAGATTTCAAGTTTCTATTGTACAAATCTGGGCCATTTGTTGTGTCATTTCTCCAAACACATACAGTACAAATGCGTGTTTTGGAGTCTTAAAAAGGTGCATTAGAAGAACTTTACATACAGACAGGACTATTGTACTGAATCCAACAGTACCAATTTTATTAAGAACTTATTGCAAAAATTCCTTTTTATCTCTCATCAAAGATGGCAGAAAACATGCTCATGGGTGGAGTTTGACAAAGGATTACTCAAAACGTACACAGTAAAAGTACTTGATTGTACTTGTGGTAGTAGTCCAAGTAGTACCGAGTCCAACAGTATCCATTTCACTAAGAACTTATTGCAAGAAATCATTTTATTTCTCATCAAAGATTTATATTTATAGACCACACAGGTATTAAAAGTACATACATTTATTGCATGAAATATAAATAAGTAAATGAAATACATTTAAAGTAAAATATGTATATATTTTAGGTTGGGCCCAATGTAAAAACTCTTTCAAAGTATTTGTATTGAATAATATTGAACTTATATTTTGATAACTAAAGTGTTAGAAAGGTAGAGGACAGATTGTTAAAGCCGGAAATGAAATTAATGTGTGTCAATTGAATCGTTTAAACTCTGGTGCCAACGCTCTCAGGTATTAAAATTGAGTCCCAGGTCTAGAATTGACAAGCTTCTACCGAGACATTTTATCACCTTTCTAAGGTTTGCTCTTACGTTGGTCTGTGCCAATTGTATTTCTTCTTACCAATGCCAGAACTCTGATTTTGATCTCTTTGGTTTTCAAAGAATATATGAGAGGATTGACACAAGGTGGAATGCAAGAGGCCAACGACAGACTCAGCACACGCTGGTCTGGGTCGATCAGACCCAGATAAAACCCAACGCAAAATATGGTAAGAATAGGAATGTAAAACACAGCAACAACAATGATATGCTCCACACAAGTGGCCAGAGCTTTCACCCGACTGTCTAAAGATTTCATCATGAATACAGTCGCCAGAATGCTCACATAAGACAGGAGAATAAAAGTAAAGGGTACTGCAAGTATCAAAATAGTAAGGAAGGAAGCTGAAGCCCACTGCATTGAATAATCATTACAGGCGAGTCTGAACACAGGCGCATAGTCACAGAAATAGCTAAACACTATGACAGAATTACAAAAAGACAGTCGAGACATTAGACTTGTTGTAAATAATATTACTCCCAGACCAAAAAACCAAGTCACGCCGACAATCCATGACATGCTTTGCATTGTGTTGATCGAGTTGTGACGCAGAGGGAAACATATTGCAATCAACCTGTCATAGGCAAGTATAGCAAGTGCATATGACTCCAAAGATATAAAAGCGTAGTAGACATACATTTGTAACATACAGAGGTTAAATGGAATAAAGTTGTCTTTAACAAGGAATATCTTTATCATGCTGGGAATAGTGCACGTGTTCAGGATAACATCAATTACTGCGAGGTTTACCACAGCCAGCAATTTTGGAGTGTGTAAAGAACGATTAAAGCAAATTACATAGATCACCAAACAATTGAACAGCACTGTGACCACATAAACAAACGATAGAAAGATAAAGTAGACACTGATGAAGGGAAACGTCTCAAACCCAATGATATAGAAGCCTGGAGGATGAATGATGATGTTAGAGTCATTTAAAACAGTCCTGAGAAAATACATAGTAGATCTCCGCAGCCTGTGAAGGAGGATGGCTCTCTGGTCTGATAAAGAGGAATTAAATCACATCACACACGTAGACGTTGAAAAGCCTCATATGCATAATTATCATGCCATTTTCATTAATACAATTCAACCTAACAGTGTTCAAAGTAGTTATGTGATAGTTAATCATGAAGCTTACCTGAAGCCCTGGATCAATAGTAACTCTGACTCTAACTGTCCGACCCCTCATACAGTGGAATATATACTTTCCTTATTGATCTCCAGAGATAAAGCTTTCTAGTGATACTGAGAAGAAGAAGCCTTTTAATGATATTAATTTGTTCCACAGAGATCACGGCATTACTTTTTCTTTCCATTAAACTTATTAAGCTCAGTTCACAAGCACGTTATTGCCCTCACTGATGAGAAGTACCTCTTGTGAGTAGATGGAGAATTCAGGACCAACCACACTTGAGTTACTGATTTATTTGGTCACAAACATGTAATAAGCATTATTGTGTAATCATTTGCTTATTTAGATTTCTGTAAATGTACTTTTTCAATACATTATTGAGACAAAACAACTTTCAGAAAGTTTGGAAACAACATGCATTATGCTGACTTTCTTAAACAGGCCATGGTTTTAATGAGCCTAATGTGTGATGCCGTCACCAGAGAGTTTCTGTTAATGACCTTGTCTTTAACAAGCAAACCTTTTACTGTGCAAACTTCAAACTAATTAATCTGAGTTGTTATTGTTACTAATGCGAATAAACACAATACAGCATGGAGGTTAAAGGTCCCATTACTCAATGGTGTTTTTAGAAAGCGGCCATTTCCTTTAAAGTACCTTTTTCCAGGCCAGCAGCCAGGTCGGTTGTCTTGGTCTTTCTACACTGCCTAAAAGTCTTAGGCTGCTTACTCCTATTAACACTAAAACTCCAGATATGATGTGTCACCTTCGGTCTTGTTGTTGGCCTTGTCATGCTCCTTTGGCATGTGTGACTAGAACTGCGATGCTACGGTTGAATTCAAATCAATTCAATAAAATACTTTATTTCATAAAATGTTTTACTTGAAACATTATGTTCTACAGCGTGTGCAAGTGAATAATATTTAATTGTAAAGATGGTATTAAGAGCTCATTCATTCAATAGTGTTTTGGAGTTTATATATAGTTGTTCTCTGAATCATTAGCTATTATTTTAGCAGTAAAGTGTTTAGTGTGATAGAGTATAATCAAAACCGGTAATTTAATGATATGGTACAAGCCAGTTTTCATGGTGAAGGTTCACCGGGGTTACTCAATCTGTGAAGTAGTCAGTGAATCTCACATTAATCTGCACGGCCATTTTATTTTCTTCATCTTTAAACAAAGGTCTGTAATCGGGTTTTCTTTCAGCACGTTAGATTTACTAGATTTGCAAAACAACAAAGTTAAACCGATAATCAATGATTTGAACAGTAATGAAGTACACAGGCACATGAAGTCCACATGTTTAATGCTTGATACGTTTTTTACAGATTTCTAAATCATGTATACGTGGAAGATGAATTACTTCACTTTTAAACTTCATTGTTGGTATAAATAAACACAATAAAACAATATTCAGTTTTATCAGTCACAAATAAGATATCTAAGCAGTTGAAGTACATTCAAATTTGAGAAAGTTCTGACAATGAGTAATTCCAAACAACATCAACACCAAATATTTAAAGGTTCTCAAAATATATAGCACATCACAACACAAAACCTGCAAACAAAACAAAACAATGATGAGGCTGCTGCTCTATTTTGTCATGCTCTTATCGGTTCCTTTTTTTAACACTGTGAAATGCATACAGTAGATTTAACAAAAAGTGTTATGATAGAAATGTCAATTTGAATTAAGTACAGATTAGCTAAGTAATATTAGAGATACCAGCAACAGCATACTAGTAAATCAATTGACTTACTACTGCCAATTGGTCCTTTTTTATTTAGTGCTGTGTTTTATCAACCCTAAAAGGATTGTTTTTGGGGGGTTTGTTGGTTGTGTGCCAATTGTATTTCTTCTTACCAATGCCAGAACTCTGATTTTGATCTCTCTGGTTTTCAAAGAATATATGAGAGGATTGACACAAGGTGGGATGCAAGAGGCCAACGACAGACTCAGCACACGCTGGTCTGGGTCGATCAGACCCAGATAAAACCCAACGCAAAATATGGTAAGAATAGGAATGTAAAACACAGCAACAAGGATGATATGCTCCACACAAGTGGCCAGAGCTTTCACCCGACTGTCTAAAGATTTCATCATGAATACAGTCGCCAGAATGCTCACATAAGACAGGAGAATAAAAGTAAAGGGTACTGCAAGTATCAAAATAGTAAGGAAGGAAACTGAAGCCCACTGCATTGAATAATCATTACAGGCGAGTCTGAACACAGGCGCATAGTCACAGAAATAGCTAAACACTCTGACAGAATTACAAAAAGACAGTCGAGACATTAGACTTGTTGTAAATAATGTTACTCCCAGACCAAAAAACCAAGTCACGCCGACAATCCATGACATGCTTTGCATTGTGTTGATCGAGTTGTGACGCAGAGGGAAACATATTGCAATCAACCGGTCATAGGCAAGTATAGCAAGTGCATATGACTCCAAAGATATAAAAGCGTAGTAGACATACATTTGTAACAAACAGAGGTTAAATGGAATAAAGTTGTCTTTAACAAGGAATATCTTTATCATGCTGGGAATAGTGCACGTGTTCAGGATAACATCAATTACTGCGAGGTTTACCACAGCCAGCAATTTTGGAGTGTGTAAAGAACGATTAAAGCAAATTACATAGATCACCAAACAATTGGCAAGCACTGTGACCACATAAACAAACGATAGAAAGATAAAGTAGACACTGATGAAGGGAAACGTCTCAAACCCAATGATATAGAAGCCTGGAGGATGAATGATGATGTTAGAGACATTTAAAACAGTCCTGAGAAAATACATAGTAGATCTCCGCAGCCTGTGAAGGAGGATGGCTCTGGTCTGATAAAGAGGAATTAAATCACATCACACACGTAGACGTTGAAAAGCCTCATATGCATAATTATAATGCCATTTTCATTAATACAATTCAACCTAACAGTGTTCAAAGTAGTTATGTGATAGTTAATCATGAAGCTTACCTGAAGCCCTGGATCAATAGTAACTCTGACTCTAACTGTCCGACCCCTCATACAGTGGAATATATACTTTCCTTATTGATCTCCCGAGATAAAGCTTTCTAGTGATACTGAGAAGAAGAAGCCTTTTAATGATATTAATTTGTTCCACAGAGATCACGGCATTACTTTTTCTTTCCATTAAACTTATTAAGCTCAGTTCACAAGCACTTTATTGCCCTCACTGATGAGAAGTACCTCTTGTGAGTAGATGGAGAATTCAGGACCAACCACACTTGAGTCACTGATTTATTTGGTCACAAACATGTAATAAGCATTATTGTGTAATCATTTGCTTATTTAGATTTCTGTAAATGTACTTTTTCAATACATTATTGAGACAAAACAACTTTCAGAAAGTTTGGAAACAACATGCATTATGCTGACTTTCTTAAACAGGCCATGGTTTTAATGAGCCTAATGTGTGATGCCGTCACCAGAGAGTTTCTGTTAATGACCTTGTCTTTAACAAGCAAACCTTTTACTGTGCAAACTTCAAACTAATTAATCTGAGTTGTTATTGTTACTAATGCGAATAAATACAATACAGCATGGAGGTTAAAGGTCCCATTACTCAATGGTGTTTTTAGAAAGCGGCCATTTCCTTTAAAGTACCTTTTTCCAGGCCAGCAGCCAGGTCGGTTGTCTTGGTCTTTCTACACTGCCTAAAAGTCTTAGGCTGCTTACTCCTATTAACACTAAAACTCCAGATATGATGTGTCACCTTCGGTCTTGTTGTTGGCCTTGTCATGCTCCTTTGGCATGTGTGACTAGAACTGCGATGCTACGGTTGAATTCAAATCAATTCAATAAAATACTTTATTTCATAAAAATGTTTTACTTGAAACATTATGTTCTACAGCGTGTGCAATTTAATTGTAAAGATGGTATTAAGAGCTCATTCATTCAATAGTGTTTTGGAGTTTATATATAGTTGTTCTCTGAATCATTAGCTATTATTTTAGCAGTAAAGTGTTTAGTGTGATAGAGTATATTCAAACCTTGTAATTTAATGATATGGTACAAGCCAGTTTTCATGGTGAAGGTTCACCGGGGTTACTCAATCTGTGAAGTAGTCAGTGAATCTCACATTAATCTGCACGGCCATTTTATTTTCTTCATCTTTAAACAAAGTCTGTAATCGGGTTTTCTTTCAGCACGTTAGATTTACTAGATTTGCAAAACAACAAAGTTAAACCGATAATCAATGATTTGAACAGTAATGAAGTACACAGGCACATGAAGTCCACATGTTTAATGCTTGATACGTTTTTTACAGATTTCTAAATCATGTATACGTGGAAGATGAATTACTTCACTTTTAAACTTCATTGTTGGTATAAATAAACACAATAAAACAATATTCAGTTTTATCAGTCACAAATAAGATATCTAAGCAGTTGAAGTACATTCAAATTTGAGAAAGTTCTGACAATGAGTAATTACAAACAACATGAACACCAAATATTTAAAGGTTCTCAAAATATATAGCACATCACAACACAAAACCTGAAAACAAAACAATGATCCTTTAGAGTTGAGCCTCATGCTGTCTGCCCATAACCTGCTTTAGTGATGAGGAGCAACAGAGCCTCAAGGCTGCTGCTCATGCTGTTTTCCGTAGATTTTTTTAAAACTGTGAAATGCAGACGGTAGATATAACGAAAAAGTGTTATGATAGAAATGTCAATTTGAATTAAGTACAGATTAGCTAAGTAATATTAGAGATACCAGCAACAGCATACTAGTAAATCAATTGACTTACTACTGCCAATTGGTCCTTTTTTATTTAGTGCTGTGTTTTATCAACCCTAAAAGGATTGTTTTTTGGGGGGTTTGTTGGTTGTGTGCCAATTGTATTTCTTCTTACCAATGCCAGAACTCTGATTTTGATCTCTCTGGTTTTCAAAGAATATATGAGAGGATTGACACAAGGTGGGATGCAAGAGGCCAACGACAGACTCAGCACACGCTGGTCTGGGTCGATCAGACCCAGATAAAACCCAACGCAAAATATGGTAAGAATAGGAATGTAAAACACAGCAACAAGGATGATATGCTCCACACAAGTGGCCAGAGCTTTCACCCGACTGTCTAAAGATTTCATCATGAATACAGTCGCCAGAATGCTCACATAAGACAGGAGAATAAAAGTAAAGGGTACTGCAAGTATCAAAATAGTAAGGAAGGAAGCTGAAGCCCACTGCATTGAATAATCATTACAGGCGAGTCTGAACACAGGCGCATAGTCACAGAAATAGCTAAACACTCTGACAGAATTACAAAAAGACAGTCGAGACATTAGACTTGTTGTAAATAATGTTACTCCCAGACCAAAAAACCAAGTCACGCCGACAATCCATGACATGCTTTGCATTGTGTTGATCGAGTTGTGACGCAGAGGGAAACATATTGCAATCAACCTGTCATAGGCAAGTATAGCAAGTGCATATGACTCCAAAGATATAAAAGCGTAGTAGACGAACATTTGTAACAAACAGAGGTTAAATGGAATAAAGTTGTCTTTAACAAGGAATATCTTTATCATGCTGGGAATAGTGCACGTGTTCAGGATAACATCAATTACTGCGAGGTTTACCACAGCCAGCAATTTTGGAGTGTGTAAAGAACGATTAAAGCAAATTACATAGATCACCAAACAATTGGCAAGCACTGTGACCACATAAACAAACGATAGAAAGATAAAGTAGACACTGATGAAGGGAAACGTCTCAAACCCAATGATATAGAAGCCTGGAGGATGAATGATGATGTTAGAGACATTTAAAACAGTCCTGAGAAAAGACATAGTAGATCTCCACACCGGACGAACTCTGCTGAAAAGGTCTCCTGTCTAAAGAACAAATAAATATTGTACATTAGACGTCTATAGAAGTTATAAACCACATGTGCATGCTGGTTCAATTAGCAAATTAAAACATTGCAGTATATAAGACATTCTCAGTCAATTAAAAAATGTACAAATGCTGAAAGAAATCTGTGAATGTGGCCTACCTGATGGTCTCTTAATGATTGTTGAGCAACAGCTCTAATGTAATGCTGCAATCTCAAAGCAGCAAACACATGACTGCACGTCTGTCCTGTGTATAGGGGAAGATATACTTCCTTCATTGATCTCTTGAGACAAAACTAGCTAAGGAAGTCATTAAGAGCAGGTTTGCAGCTTATTCTCATTAAGCTTGTTTTATACTCAAACATACAAGTTGCTGTGTTTTGGACATGATTTCTTTACCATTGAGATGATGTTGCAGTAACACTGCACTTATACTTTAATCTTCACACAATATGACAAACTTTATGATAACTCGTGTCAACTAATTCCTAAATCAGTCTGTTCAAATAATACTACTATTGTGCCATTGTGGACTCTTGTGACAGCAGACAGTGTGTTTGTATCCAATTATAATGAAAGGATATGTTAAACTTTTTCTGCTTATTAAAGTGACAATTAAAAAAAAAGAACTTCCCTGTACTCCCTGCTGGATAAAACATTTAAAATAAAGTTATTAGATGTCCTCAAACCTTTCTTTGGCATAATCTCACTTTTACTTCTATTAGCTCTATTTATCCATAGCACTCTCGACCACACAAACATGAAAGTCCAAGTCGTTGTTTTTTTGTAGCTGCTCATACTTTATTTTAATCAACAATATTGTGATTAGGTACAGTCTTTTGATTTGCATGCCCTCAACACAGCCCAGCCAGTGTGTTCAGCTCGGAGCAGACTCAGGGAAGGTTTTCTGCCGCTGCTTCATCAGCTGCTCTTTTCGGGCGATTTGGAAATTCATCATGCAGTCTTTGAAAGTCTGGACCTGACTTTTGCAGATGCGCCAGTCCTGGTGTTCAGCCATGCACTCCTGCACAGCGTAATGTTGCTCTGCACAGCCAGTGCGGGATATCATCCGATCAACGGGGTCATCCTCATCTTCATCTTTACGGCTGCGGTCATGGGGGGATGCCATCCTGTGCTGACTCAATTGCTCTGCTGAGGATAACACATAATGGTTTCAATAGACAGTTAATACACAGGTAATAAATTAGTCTTAGGAAAAACCACAAAACATCCTAGTAGGTCTATCCAAGTGTCTGTGCTGTTCATTTTAGGGACAAATCGGTTATTTTTTTTGATAGCCCCATATAAAAACAAACAATGAAAACTAGTAATGCCTCATATGCATATAGAATAGATAAAAGCACTAAAATAAATTAGGTGTGTCTTATTTTTCCATTGCGGTAATACTATTTGAATTCTGAGTCCCTGGGTCACATGAAATGGAAGCTATTGAACAAAAATGTATTATCTTCATCATGTAAAATCAATTAATGACACATCAGTAATCATAATAGGTAAGCATAAGACATATAGATAGATATATATATATTATATAAGAGAGCAAGCATGCACATAACTTTGGTTTTGTGTCACTCTAACTATATTGATGGTCCCTAAGTGAAACCTTGTAGTTAAGATCAAGGACTCGAATGTGAGCTAACTGTCCTGTAGCTGCTGACAGTTTGTGAAACTGAGCAAGAAGACTGGAGTTAATTCTGTTAAAGATCCGACCTAAAACTAGCTTCTACAGTCAAGACATTAGCACTTATACTTTCACAGACTCACAGTTTGAAAACATATAATGATCTTAACAAATATGATGATGAATAGCTGAAATGAGCTTCACCTCGACCAGCTGCAACATTGGTCTGACATGTTGATGGACCAATAATACCCTTCACTTCTATGGGAGACATTTTGCACAACGAGTCGTTTTACATTTAAAAGTGACACTAACATTAAGCAGGCTAGACTTTGCTTAGAGTACCTGTGATTGTACCAGAGCGTGGCAATAGGGCTGTTAATTGACGTGGATTTCCTTAAAAAAATATTGCTACGTATACTGAAGTACAGTAAACATTCGTCGTTGTCATGTAGCTGCATTAATAAGAAAATACACTGAATAACCTTAGCTCAAAGGTAGGCTAACAGTATCGAGAGAGGTGCTAGCAAACACACATGTTTACGTAACCCTTCGTTTTTCTTACCTGTTTATTCTCTTTGAGCGATCTTTTCGTTGAGACACTGGAATTATTTTTCCATAGCCTGCAAAACTTTACTCTAGACTTCTCATAACAAACCACGGTCAACTGCAAGTGTTTCTCGGAGGACACATTTTAGCAGCGGACGAACGTGTAACCGTAACATAGTTCCGTCGATGTCCGTTCGTCATTAGTTCCACTTCCTACCGAACACTCAACTCATTAATAATACATCGTAGCGTTCCTATCAGTGAATACATTGCAACAACATCATCATTTTGTAGTCCATACTTTATCATAGTAAACTGCTTATGTGGTGAATGTTTTACAATGCATATCTATGGAAGGTTCTGTAGTTCATAAAACCTGAAGAATAAAAAAGCTTGCCTGTTACAAACATGTTGGGCCCACTCACGGGGGCTCATTATTTTACAGCCTGGTTCATAATGGTTCAAGATGTTAACATTTATTAATAAAAATTTTTAAAAAAAAACACTTAACAAAAACATGTTGTGCCTTCTATGGTGCATTGATCTGATTCTTGACAATTCAGTTTCATTAGTGAACAAAAATATTGTTTTCAATGTATTCGTTTATTTTAGGGGGACAAGCACAGACACACAATAACATTTGCAGAAGCAGTTTCTGAGATGTTGTACACGTATATACAAGCCAAAGGTAAACATAACAACGAAACATTCAAAAATAATACAAATAATAAACAGAACTCATATTATGGTCCGTCTTGAAGTGTGACTCTTTAGAAACAATGGTTCAATCAAGTAGCTGTCAGATGAATACAGGTAGAGCATACTGAGTTCAATTATTGTGAGTTAAACGTTTTGGTCATTTTGTGAACTGTGTTTGTAGACTTAGTAATCAGGGACAAACACATTAAACGACTTTTCAGTTGGTAAATGTTCCCAGAGGAGAAATTCATCACTAAACATGATGGGTAAGACAAAACTAGTTGTCCGGCAGTGGCTCAGTCAGTAGGGGCTTGGACTGGGAGCTGTAGGGTCGCCGGTTCAAGCTCCTAACCAGACCTAAAATATGGAGTGAGGACTGCTACTTGGAGAGTTCCCAGTTCACCTCCTGCCCTGCCGTGGTGCCCTTGTGCAAGGCACCGGACACCCCCCCTCACTCCCATTGCTCCCTAACGGTACAATAGCTGCCTACTGCTCCTAGTACTAGACTCCTGCCGGTACTAGGATGGGTTAAATGCAGAGGCCAAATGTCACTGTGTGCTGTGTGCTCTGCATGTGTGACCATTAAAGAGGGTTTCATCCCTCCCAATTCTTCTTCTAACTAAATAGTTCTAATGAGCCCAGCTTGTATTGCCATCTCCAGATAATTCAGATTAATGATCTCAACTTTAACGAACAAACATTTTTACTGTAATCCACATCAGACTAATTAATCTCAGTTGCACCTATTAGGAATAATGGCAATTAAAAACAGAGGGAAATCGGAGCATTACATTAATTGCTTGTGTGAAACTTTCTTTTCATTTAACTTCCAACTGCTTTCTAATGGCTGCAGGAGACACTCCAGAGGTCATTGACCTGCCACTCCGACAGTGTCCTCTGACTATGTTTTGTTTAATCAAATAACAATTTTTAATTTGTTTTATACATTTATAGGCCTTCCTAAAGGACTTTCAAACACTAATTTCCATGTGAACTTTAGGCTCAGCGGAAAGTGGTTCTTGTACATTCATTTTTAGGTTTATTGGTAGATTTCCACATGGAACTATATATCTAATGCCAGTTTATATATATTATATATATTTATATTTCAGCAAATAAATCATTTAAAAATAATTTACAGATATCTACTGATGATGTTGGTATTTTCAATTGAACCACTTGCTGACATGGTTCATAGTAGGAAACATACAACAGTAGGAACTATTATGCATTTCATTTATCCTCCCAAGTATGCTCCAGTTATTTTTTTAAATATTAAAAGTTTAAAATATTTATCCTTGAAAATGATAATGCATGCCTACTTATCATCAGAGCCCAAATACAGATGCTTCTACATTATGTCCCCCTTTCACTCTTTTCATCACATATTTAGGAAAGGAAAACAAAATTCAACCTGTGCCAACATCGTCAAACTTAGCTCGAAAATGCTTCTCTGATGTTGTTTCATGCAACACACATAAAGGGACGTTTTGCTTTGCCAAATCATTTATGAGGAATAAACAAAAGAGATACAGTAAAAAAAAAAAGTCAATTTCAGATAAGAAGATTCCATATGACACATAGAAGAACCAGAGCAGTCATATGAACACATTGCAAATAATTACAATCAAGTACAGTTTACAACAAGTATATTTGATGTCATAATAAGTCACTAATATGTTTTCCGGCATTATTTCATGCTCTTGAATTTGTTAACGTAATAGCAGTATATCAAATAAAAAAGAATATAAGAAAAATATATTATGGATTCATATGATTGATACATAATATTAAACTTTAAGCTTTGAAATGCTTATAAATCAGACACAACCATTCCCATTTCCTTTACTGTAGACCTCTTTTTGTTCCACCAAAGACACACACACACATATGCACACAATCGTGACCGATGTGCATTATAACTCTCCAATGATAGCTTTTGGAAAAAAATACATTTGTTAAGGGCTTATTTTTACTCTTTTGACCAATGCCAGGGCTCTGGTTCTGATCTCTTTTGTTTTTAAAGAATATACAACCGAATTTATGCAGGGTGGGATGCAAGAGGCCAGCGACAGACTCAACACGCGCTGGTCCGGGTCAATGGATCGCACATAAAGACCAATTAAGAAAATGATGATTATAGGAGTGAAAAATACAGCAACAAGGACTAGGTGTTCAATGCAAGTAGCGAGAGCTTTCATCCTAGTATTTACTGATTTCATCCTGAACACAGTGACCAGAATGATGACATAAGACAGGAGGATAAAAGTCAAAGGGCCCATCAGATTCACCATGCTTGAAGTTGAAGCGATTGACCACTGCGGTGTGTAATCATTACAGGCGAGTCTAAAAACAGGTGCATAGTCACAGAAGTAGCTAAACACTCTGACAGATTTGCAAAAAGAAAGTCGAGTCATGATTGCGGTGCTGTATGCAAGTATTCCCAGACTGTAAACCCAAGTAACGCTGATAAGACAAGACATGATCGGCAGTGTGTTGAATACGTTCTGACGCAGAGGGAAACATATTGCAATCAACCTGTCATAGGCAAGTATAGCGAGGGAATACGACTCCAAAGATATAAAAGCGTAGTAAACATACATTTGTACCAAACAGAGGTTGAATGGAACAAAGTTGTCCTTAAACAGAAATGTCTTTATCATGCTGGGAATAGTGCTTGTGTTTAAGACAATATCAATTACTGCCAGGTTGACAACTGCCATGAATTTTGGAGTGTGTAAGCAATGGTTACAGGCAATTATATAGATCAATAAAATATTGAACACTAGTGTAACCACATAGACAAATGCTAGAAAGATAATGTAGACACTGATGTTGGGAAATGTCTCAAATGCGATGATATAAAAGCCTGGAGGATGAATGATGAGAGAGTCGTTTAAAACAGAAGACATAGTTGAACTCGGCAGGCTACAGACTGCTGCTGGTCTGCGTTATATCAAAGCTCTGTGGGCTAGAAAAGATTAAGCAAATACATTTATTACTTAGCTTTCCTATCACATACTTCAAATGGACACATGTACACCATGACCAGTCTTGAAGTGAATACAAACACACAACAGAATACAACACAGTGCACTTTTTACTCACCTTCTGTGTTGATGTCCGTTATACACAATGAGGCTCCATGTGTCTGCGTGTCTGACCTGTGTACAGTGGAAATTATATCATCTTCATTGATCTCTAGTGATGACATGAACTCTGCTAATTAAAAATAATAGGTATAAACAATAACGGCCCGTCCACACAGCGGCGTGCGTTGACGCTTGCCGGCGGGCGTGTCTGAAACTCGACCAACAACCAATCACATGAATCTCCCGCCCCTGACACACAAGCAGCGGTTTGATTGGCTAGAGCTTGTACTGGCATATGATTCGATTGGCTGACGCTTCTCACGCCAGCAACGCTCCGCGTCGCTTCCCACGATGCAGTTCGGTGCAAAGTGACGTCACCCCATTCAAAGTGAATGGTGAAGCGTCAATTTACGCCGCTGTGTGGACGGGCCGTAACATAATTAGTAGGGCCCTTTAGTTGCAATTAAAGTTTAATCCGTGAAGACTACTGCATTGTTTCATAACTTATCTTGCAGAGAAAAAAACACCTCATTGTTTTGTGGCTCTCATTAATCTTTTTCTAAAGGGAAGGAAAGAATGCAGAATATAAATAATGTCACTTAAGAATAACACTGAAACCCAAACAGCAAAGTTTGGAAGTGTTATTTACTCTTTTTGATTCTCTTTACAATATTACTTATTCAAACAAGCCTTTATTTATTCGGACAACATTAATGATTCTAATCTTTTTAGGATATTGTCAATAGATTTGGGAGATTAGGGATTATCTGATTTCATGTGATTGTGAATTTTATAGACCAGTGATACCAACTCTGTAAGCAGTCTAAATATGGCTACATTTTAGCGAGGGGAAAACTGTCATGGTTCATATTCACAGCAGTCCTTTGACCTGTCATCACAATATCCCTTAATGTCATGGGGATCTATTGGTACACATGTACCTCCACTTAATAGACATGCTTATCCCAGTTCGGGGAAAAAACATTCAGTATTAGAATTGCGTAAATTGGGGATTTCTCTAAATCTGAGACAATTGTGAATCCGATTAGCTGAATTGTTTTCACGTGCGATGGTGTTCCGAAATAAGCCGCACCATTGTAGTGAGACATTTTTGAATCTTGACCTCCCTGTCAAATTTGAATTGTTCTGGTATCTAGGATAATCACAGCCTCGTAAAGCTTTACAACAGCAAACTTGAGACCTACTGTAGGGCATTCAGAGGATGTTTGGCTTTTCTACTCATATTGACGATATGGTGGCACTTTTCAGAATAGTTCTCGCCAACCACAAAAACAATACATTTTAGCAGAAGTCAAACGTCTTTATTACCAAATCATGAATGTTTCTACTGAGTTGCTTGGGGTCCTGA